CTAGAGCCACAGATATTTACCATCCTGGGAGCCTAGAGTGGCACACAATTGCCAGTTTTAAGAATAAAGTCTTCATCTCTCAAGTTCAGTTATCCACCTCATCACCGATTCCGCTTATTGGGTCAGCCGTTAATCCGAAACACATGTCCGAGCCATCGAAGCACAATGGTGGCACTCAGAGGGCGACTAAGAATATCTTGGGGGGAGGGGATTCGCCTGCGAGACACTTACTCTCCGTACGTATTGTGTTAATGGGTCAACTCTCGCAGCCTCTGACTACGCGTATGGTGGCATTGTATACTCTATCTTTTAAGGAAAGAACCAGTGGCATTGACACCACCAGTGATGTGGGTTAGCGAAAGGCACTCGGGCCTTGAGGATACGTGTTTTTATTTCTTCTGTCAGTCTTCTTTAGTTAAAACAACTCCAAAGATAGGTAAAGCGATCGATCATGAGCGTGCGGTCAGGAGTAGTCTCTTATCAACCTTGAAGTAAGATCACACATTTCGATCGAGGAAAGGTTATTTCAAACATTGCGACGGACAACACTAACTTGCACAGGAACTGAAACCCAGAGAGTGATAGGAACCTGCTCCTTTGGGTTCTTGTCACCGATGGGAATTTTTTATCCTCAGGTAACCAGTGTAAACAAGGTACGGTATAGTAGACTGCCGTTGGGCCCACAAATGCCTTAGAACGGTAGCTGGAATATCATCCCATTTTGTCATGACTCGTCTAACCCATTTTTTCAACACGCAAACAATTACAAAGACAATTGCAAATGTGCTACCACATATGAACAGAAAGAAATCTGAAGAATATATTCATGGATGATGCGGGCATGTTACTTCCCGGCTGCCGGAGGAAGGAGGGATAACCTCGGGGTCCCCACCCGAAGCCTTCGGCTAGAAAGCCAAACCTGAAAGACAACAGAACAGAGCTCAGAGTCCGCAGTTCATTGGGGACCGGTATCCAGTTCATTGGATCATACGCCCTTCGGACGGGGTCAGACGTCCAAGGTGCCCGATATACCCTGATGCCCAATTGAACCGGCGAACACTGCCGCAACCAGGAAGGTGTGCGTGTGGTTCGTACGCCTCCTCTTGGTTGATTTGGGATCATGGTTTTTAGCCAACTCCCCTCGGTGAACTGCCAATGGTTCAGCCACCCGGTTATAACCCCGGATTTCGGCTAGTCGTCTTCTCACTTTGGTGGGAAAACACCTCCGCCACGGGACGGCAGTGAGTAGGGCTTCCTCAGCAGAGGCTATCTGAGACGCTTGGTCATATAGGAGCATTTCACGAGGTGTAGGGGAATGGTGACCAGTCAATCGTAGACACCTACCATGACCATACTGAGGATTTCGGGAGTATTACCCAACCAATTGACATCAAATTTGATCTAGTTTTTATATCCCCCAGTGATCAATCATTCGGCGTCCATGAATTACAGAATACAAACACTCAGCTCACATCAGCCCCGACCTATTCGTGATATTCCCTCACTACTAGAGAAAATCTGGCTTGTTCCAGATTGTACCGCAGTGGTTTAGTTGTTGTCGCCTGTGTGCTCCGAGGTTCGAGCCCCGCCACCGACACCCAACTTTGATGCTAAGTAGATTTGCTGTCTTTCGGTTTAATACCCCGTCTAAGTCCCGGGACATACGATGTCGATTTCCATCACTGAACAGCAGGTCTTCATGGTTATGGGGTCTAACCCGTCTTTCGTTCATTATGCAAGTGTGTAATAATAAAAATATCAGTAGTTTGATACCAAAAAGACGAATCGGTGAAAAAAGAAGTGATAATTCTTAAAACAGTAAAACACGGTTTTGTGACTGGTGATAGGGTATTCGGTGTTTTGAGCAGTGATCAAACATTACCAACCTAACAAACAGAAGAGACCAAACAATCGTGGAGACCGATTCTGTGAGGAGCACGCGGTGCACAGTTGATGAGTTTTGTGTATAGGTTATGGTAACCAGAGTACCCCGATCTGTGCTTGCGGCGATCAAAGACTTCGATTTGCTGAGGTGGAGGGAACCAGGTGTGCTAGACGCAGCTATGGCTAATATTTTCCCTAAGAAAAAAAGTATTTTTATTTGGCAAAAGGGACGTACCGTTCAATTGGGGAAATGTTTGAATTTGGGAAATCAAAGAAGACTCGGTAGAGAATACTGTGATGAATCCCTCGTCATTTCCAACCTGGTCGTTTCAAGTGAGGTCATAAAGAGACTTACCAAAATGTGAGTGTCAGTCACAACCAAGCAACGGGAAATAGCAGTAAAGCCGACTGCTGGATATTGAGAACAGCAGTTGTGTAAATATGACAATTAAACTGACCTTTATTGAGGACTTGTGCAAATCTAGTTCGTGAATTTGACCCAAGGCGCCGGTACAGAATAAACGACCTTCAGACCAGCCCAATGATTCCACAGACTTCAGTAGGGTATGGGGAATACGAGCAATCATCACGAATTCACGTTTCTCATCATATATCTCAACTGCACCATCAGCGCGGCCGGCCGCAATCAGTCCATCGATCGATGACCTAGCCAGGCATGTAAACGCGGATGGCTGATAGTCATAACACTGGATACGGTGAACGTGTACAGCCTTCATTGTTCAGTTTGGGCCTCCAGAGATACTCAGACCACACAATGTCACCTGCAGTAAAAGACGAGACACGAGAATAAACTAATCGCAATCTCCGATATCAAATCGGATATCTGGGGAAGACATTAAAAGTTGTGCGACGAGGTAGGAGAGATTTGGATTGTTTACGAAATATTTTTCGGTAAGCACAGTAGTGACGTGACGTGTCGCTTACAACTGACAGGCCTGGGAAGTATTATATAATTACTTTATCTTTGTTTGGGGGGGGGGGGNCCAATGGGATTAGGACTCTGGCACGATGGGGTTGTTCAATCGATGTACTGATGACGATTCCCCATCACGACGAGACTGCACCTCGACGTGGCGTAATGGCTTGCGTGCCCTTATGACCCTGCGAGCTACGCAGGATGGCTTTTCACAGCCGCAGGTTCAATCATGCCTGAACGGTCAACGGGTACAGGCCAGACAATGCTCAGTCTCACAAAGCCAGCTGCTTAGGCAACTCCTGGCTTTCTTCATCTATCCACACCCGCCCCTGGAGAGGTCACTCCAGCAAATAAATATGGTGAGGGGCAGTTTACCGGTCAAAAAACCTCGCTAGATAGACGCAGGAGGGGGAGGTACCCGGGGCTTCTCCCCGACGGTGGAAGGAGTCTTTTCACTCCATTGGAGAGTTACCGCCCGCCCAGGCTGTGCAGCCCCCAGTCAATATAGTGCTGTTCCGTCCACGTTCCACTAGTCTTATTGGGTGCATGAGGATAAGGGCTGATCCCGAAAAGTGGACCGACAATCAACGCACCAGCAAACTGGATCGAAACCCGACGGTTTTGCGTGACATGTATCTAGAGGCTCCCACACGGGTGTTTCGGTCACGCTCCCGCGTTGTGGCGACGTTCCAAGAGTCGACGTAAAGTGAATATTTGGTCAGGGCGACCATCACGACAAGACTGCACCTTGACGTGGTGTGATGGCTTGTGCACCTTTATGACCCAATGAGCTACACAGGATGGCTTTTACCGAGCCAAAGATCTAATCGTGCCCGGAAGGTCAATGGGTAGAAGTCAGACGAAGTCTAGTCTCCTGGTCCTCCAGGTTGGGGGTTCGACTTGAGTCTGCGTCTCAGTCAACGAAACGTGTTGGAGGAATAATTGATCCAAGTTAATGGGCCTCCAATCCGCCTTAACCGCTACCTTGCGGTTAGGTTCTTGTCAGAACTAAAGGCTTTGGTTGAGAACCCTAATCGTTCTCCTGCTAAGCGGCTGGACACCCTGGCAGTACCCGTCCATAAAGCTCCAATGAACACAAACAAAAAATAATTTCATACTGCATCGGTCGTCGCACAGGATAATCAGGACAGCGCTGCCCATTGCATCGAGCGGGGTGGGTAGTGATAAGTGGGCTACTGATCAGATATCCCAACCTTTGTTTAACTCTTTGTCTTCCGTACCTAAACCTATCCCTTTACTCCTTCTTCCGACCCGTGATATTCCCTCAGACAACTTGGTCGTCACTCGCCAAAGGTCATTGCCAAATAGCCCTGTAACTAGGTGCAGATTCTGAAGCCCCGTCAACTTCTCAATCTGGGGGCTTTCAACGTGAGGACTCTTATGCAGGTGGGTCAACAGGTGTGTCTTGCGCGTACAATGGAGTCTCTAGAAATCGAGGTCTGTTCCGTATTGGAGACACGAATTCAAGATCCTAGTGTTATAAGCCACCTGAGTGCTCCGGGTCTGACCTCGAGGTATTTCCTTCGCACATCGGGAGACGACGCAGCCCGCTCACTGGGTCAGCGTGGTGTAGGTATCGTACTAATCGATAAAGCTGAAGCCTCTATGATAGATTGGATACCCGTCAATAGTCGTCTATGCGCAATGAGGCTACAGGGTTTAGTTAGTTTTCGGAAGGGTAGCAACAACAAAAGGTGTTTGTTTATAATTTTCCGCGTATGCACCAACCAACTGCAGTCCCGCTTCACAAAAGGACGAATTTTACGACAAACTCGCCGAAGTGATTCGGTTGAGCCGCAACTCTGATATTATAGTGTTGGCAGATGATTTTAACGCGCAGGTTGGAAAACTGAGCGCATCCGAAGCCTGTCTAGGAGGGCATCTTCACCCTTACCGCCCAGCGAACAGATCGACTACTTCAGTTCTGCGCGGATCACCGGCTGTTCTTATCTAGCGCTAACTTTCGACGCAGTTCTCGTCGAACGGCTACATGGTGTTCTAGTTCAACGGGCACATTGACCCAAATCGACCACGTAACTGTAAGCTACCGTTGGCGTGGCTCAATACAAAATTGCAGATCCCATTGGTCCACCTGCGTTGAGTCGGATCATGCACTAGTTCTGTTACGCTTCGCTCTTCGACTCATTGGTCATCGGCAGAAATCGCCTCCTCAATTAGCTCACCATCGTCTGCGCGATCCAGCTGTCTGCGCACGTTATGAGGACAAGCTGGGAAAGGAGCTAGGACACATTGGAGCTGACCAACAGTGGGATCAGATTAGATTTGTGATGCACTCGGCTGCAAACTTTGCTTGTGAGACTGATCCCGAAGCTTACCGAAGGCATTGGAACTTTCAGGAGTCAGTAATCCTACTGGATCAAAAGCGAAAGATCCCAATTTGCCAGGATCAGCATAAGGACCGATGTCGTCTGCAACGTCAACTCAGAAATAGCCTTAAGAAAGATCGTGATAATTGGTTGGCCGAAATAACTAGTGGATTGGAGGTAGCTTCTGCATCAAGGAATATTCAAAGACTATTTCACCTGATACGCAGCACCGGAGGTCGTCGCATACCGGTCAGTGAGACCATTTGCGATAAAAGTGGACAACGCATCCACAAAAAAGAACAACGACTTGATCGCTGGGTAGAGTATTTTAGTGAACAGTTCAATTGGCCTAGTGCTAATGTGGTCATTCCAGCAATTGCGGCGGAAACTCCATGGGTGGTAACATGCGAGCCTCCATCAGAATCGGAAGTACTAAGCTGCACTCAATCATTAAAGCAAGAGAAGGCTGCGGGACCTGATGGGCTTCTCCCTATTCTTTTCAAGGTGGGCGGTAATTCTCTTGTCGACTCAATTACTAGCTTACCTCGCAGCATTTGGACGGAGGAGTGTATCCCTTTGTCCTGGGATGAATCGTTCATCGTCCCGATCTTCAAGAACGGATCATGCAACGACTGCGCTAACCACCGTGGGATTAGCTTAGTTCCGATAATCACAAAAGTGTTGACTTCTGTGATACTTCGCCGCCGGACACCCTTAAGGGAGAGGAA